CTTCATATTTTCGTGTGTGGTGTCACACTGCACATACAATCTCAACTTCACCTGCAGACAAATGCTTAAAAATGTGTATACAAGCCATTTTTCCTTGGAAAATCCTCCACAAAGACATCCCTCCCCCTTAGGCAGATAGCCCTTGAGTGCTTTGCCATAATTCAAACCAAACAGCGTAGAAATATGCCTTCCTTTCTTCTTTTTAGTTTGCCTTGCATTGCGAACACCGACTATTTGCATTTTGCATCTCCTGATGTACCCTCTGAGGTCACAGTGCTGATTGATATGCATCACCTTTCTACTGAGTTGGCTTTTCACTGTACTGATCACTAAAAGCTCTTTAACAATTTCATTGTTGAAAAATGAATTTATTGCTTAAGTTTTGCTCACTAGTGTGTATTATCATTCATTTATATAAAAGAACAAAATCAAGCAATTACTTCATATACAGTACAAAAGTAAAATTAACACAAATTTTTTTAACATGAACCCTTCCCCCCCAGTCCCTTGAGATTTGTGTTAATAAGGTTTTACTGTATATTACATGTAATTAATTATCAGTAGGTAAATGATTAGTAAAACTACAAAGAAAACAATATACCATTTGTAAAGATGATGATGATCTCTAGACAATTAAAGAAAAATGAAATTATGTCTACACAATTAAAACAACAAAGAAAATGCCATTTGTAACCAAAAACAATGACATATTTTGTCTAGACAGAAACAGTTTTTGTTAATGACACTAACAATAAACAATTAAGTTACATTCAGACGAGTGCAAGTTCTGAGAATGTACTTCTCATATGAGGTGTTAGCCTTTATTATATACAAAAAAGAAAAAACATCCTAGATTTATCAGTATTCTGATAACTATATAAAATTTTGTTTCATGAAAAATACTGATTAGAAACTATTGTGTTATATTTGTTATACAACCTTATCAAATGAGTCCATGAGCCTTTCAAATTTAAAGCAAAACTTGGTGAATTAAAACATCCAAACTATAGTAAGCAAGGCGATAAATTTCTTTGTAAATAAAAAGAAAGAATTCAATTTTTCTCAGGGGGCTTTGTCTGAAAATCTAGTTGTGGCTGCTTTTGGAGTATCCCAATTCCTGAAACTGGGTATGCTCATATAAATGTGGAAAAGTTAATAGTTTCTGCAATAAAAATGATGCCATCGTGTATGTGTGATAAAAAAGCAAAACCACGTAAATTTGTTGTAATAGTGAATTACAGTATCGTGAAAATAGTACATAATATCGAATAAATAATTGTAGTTACTTTTTATAAGTGCATCCCCCCTGTCTTAAGTCAGTGAAAGTTCAAACATACCAGACAATGCTAATTTAATGTGTTTTTAGAGATATGATTTTGAGAATATATCTAATGAAGAATTTCTATTCTGCAAATCATTGAATACAAGACCAAAGGCAAAAGAAATTTCTAACTTGATTGATACTTATTCTAAATACACTGGTGTGTAAAACTTAAGCAACAGGTGTTCTTTTTGCCATAACTCCACGAGAAATCATCTGAGAGACATGAAATTCAGAATGAGATGAAATTCAGAATGAGAGACAGCATTTTGTATAAACGATGACAAAAGCATAGTTGCACAAAAATGAATACAGTGCATACAGTATGTAATCAAACAAAAACAAAAAAAGCTTTATTGAACTCATAGGTATCTTTACACATGATTGTCTGTATAAGAGGAAGACTAACAAGCAGATGTTCCTTAGGTATGGGATATGGCCTCTCCTTACTGCAATGGTTGCTTCGTACCGTCTGTCCATACTCAGCACCAGGTTGTTCAACAGATCTTGAGATAAGAGTGTCTATTCTTTAATCAGCATCTGTTTAGTTGGGTGTTCCCCGAAGGATGTAATCGTGCCACAAGGCATCTCCCCAAAGCATCCCACACATATTCTATGGGATTTAAATCTGGGGGTGTACGCTGGCCAATCCATTCAAGTGATATCTCCACTTTCCAGTGGCTTCTGAACAGCAGGAGTCCAGTGTGGCTGTGCATTGTCATCCGTAAAATCAAAGTCTTCTCCAATGGCACCTCAGACTAGACACACATGGAGAAGGATGACAATAACGATCTCTGGTTACAGAACCTCTGTTGAAAACATGGAGCTCTGTTTACCCATTCAGCATAATGCCTCCCCAGACGAGAACTCCAGGAACGGTCTCCTTCCATGATGTTACTGCAATGAAACTGTGTCCCGATTTCCCAAATCAACTGGTGTTGAGAATCGCTTGTGGCACTAAAACGACTCTCATTCAGAAAGAGGACATGACTCCATTGATGAGATGTCCAGTTTTTGTGATCCTTTCATGACTCTAAATGGTGGCACCGATGGCCAACTTTCAAAGGGATACAGCATTCATGATGGCAGACAAATAGGTCACCTTTGTAAAGGCATCTGGACACAGTAAACCATGACACAGTGAGTTGTCCCATTGCTGTACACTGTTGCTGAACTATGGCACTTGCTGACTGGTTTCGGGCTCTTTTCACCTGCAAGACGATATATCAGTTATCTACAGCAGTTGTTTTCCTGGGGCGGCCACCACCAACCTTTCTAACAGCTGTACCTATGATTTGGATGGCCTTTCCAAGTGCACAAAATGACACTTTTGTTGATTCCAAACTCTTCAAATATACTGGTCATACTATGCCCTTTCTCTAGCTTTCCAATCATTCTTCTATGTGTGAAGTCATCCAAGTGATTTTTTCTAGCCATATTTTATGAAAGAACCGACTTACAGTGAATGTCTTTAATTGCATCTTCATATTTCTTTTTACTGTAGTCTTGAGCTGAGCATGCCGATCGCACGTGTTTTGCTAACGCTCACGTTGCCTGTGATTTTTTGTTCCTGACATTTGCATATATGCATGACCTTCCTACTAAATTGCAAGTCCATTGTACTGATTGCAAGAACCCTTTTCTGCAATTTCATGGCTGTCTGATTAAAATTTACATTGTTGCTTAAGTTATGCACACCAGTGTAAAATCGACTGGAAAAAATATGTAGGACTGAGCAGTGTTAATGCTTCATAACAATGGCAGGCGTCCACATGGGGCTTTTTTCAAAATAAAGGGTATGGCACCAGAATATGTATGATCGCATTGGATTCAGATATTAAAAAAACCATAATTGAATATTTTGTGATTAAGCACTTGAACAGCTTTGACAAATATCATTGATAGATTTTCGGCTGTCCTTGCATCAAGAGCATCCAATTTTAGCACAAAAAGCAATTAAATTTCTAATCACTTTTTTTTTTTTTTTTTTTTTTTTTTTGTTACAACTTACAAATGTGAAAAGTTTTTCTAAAAAATAAATAAACTAATTACATGTCAAACCAGATTGAACCCTTTGTGGCACACTACATTTTAAAGTTGGAATTTCATCAAAAAAAGTTGTGCAAAGTCTATTTAGGCTAAAAGGAGTATACATATAAAAATTGGTAAAAATTGCACTTACCATTTTAATTTTGTGAATGTTCCATGAGATGGAACACTACACCGCCAGAGCTCTTAAAAGTGCGACTATGTGAGCATTGCAGTGAAGCACAAAAACGAGTAGAAGCTTTTGTATAGTAATGAAAAAATACTGTATTATGGCTATGTATTATAGATAAATATATGTATATACACAAGTCCTATATACAAAAATATTTACAAATTTTTCGATTTCTTAGCTTCGTGAAGTTGCTCAAAGCATGTCACACCTTTTTGATAGAAGCACAAATTAACTTTTCAGGTTTTGCACACAAAACTTGTTTTGTGCGGCTTCTGTTCCGTGATACAATATTTTTAGAATTCCAAGTAGGAACTTGAGGCTGCGTAGAGGGGCCTGGCTGAGATGGATCATCAACCTCCTTATCAGATAAAGATGTTTAATCTGACATATCATCATCGGATTGCACAAGTGGTTCAGGAGTGTGTATCTCAGTATCGCTACTATCCTCATGCTCTGATTCAGAATCCGAGGGTAATTTATGAAGCACTTTTAGCACTTCAGACAGAGTTAGATATCTCCATGCCATTTATGGAAAATTAATAATAAAAAATTAACTAAATTAATATTAACAATAAAGAAAAATAAGCTATAAGATATACATACATAAAACAATATCTACACAATTATTGAAAATAAATGGGAATGAAACTAAAAAGCGACAGCAAAAAATTCACGCAGCTCTAAGTAAGGATGACTCGAGCTACTGATAAAATTCCTGCCTGAAAACTACTCACAAAAAATCTCAAGATGCCCATATTAGGATTTTCATAGCACAAACCACACCTCACCCCTCAATACTGCTTTGTTTGACTTTATTACCCCCAAAACAACGGAAACAAGAAACATATACAACAGATGTTTTCTCCTAAGAACGGATGTTCTGATGCGTGATAGCATGAGATCGCTGAAGACGTGTTCCCGCTGGTGGAACACCCCATTTTATTCAATGATTCTTCAGAGAAAATTAAATGAAAATAAGTGGATTTTAATAACACATCATAGGTGAAAATTCTGGGTCTCCTTGTGATATGCTGGCATCTACTATTTAAAAAGAGTTCAAAGTATATTATAAAGGCATTTTTATCCATTTATGGTTGAATTTAATGGCTTCAGAAGCGATTCAAGTTAAGTGTTTCATGTAGTGGAACACTGAGCAACAAAGGGTTAAGAGTAGAGTTATCTTTTGCTCTAGACCTGAGTTTTAGTTAACGAGAAACAGCATCCCACTTCCGTTTAAATTTTTTTTTTTTTTTTTTTTTTTCTTGTACATTTTTACATGTATTTTTGTTAGTTTCACAGCAGAGGAAAAATATTTGAATAAATATATATTTGATAGCTACCATACATATATAAAAAGAGAGAAGTATGCTAGTACAAGTGAGGTTTTTAAATCAATAGAATTCTTTGAATTGATTATCATTATATGTTCTATAACCTTTTTCTATATTATTATTTTAGGAGATGAGTGCATTTTATATCAATTATGACAATTTAGATACAGCTATTGAGCAAGCTATGGACAACCCAGTAAATGTCAATTTTGCTATAACTCCAGCTGGTGATGTAATATGGGAAGGCAAGCCACCACCTGAATATGAAGAAAATGTAATCAAAAGAATCTCAGAAGGTAAAAAATTGTAGAAATAGCTATTAAGTGTCAAACTATTGAAAAAACACTGCAATGTACATATATACAGTATGTGTCAGAGTGTATATGATACAAAAAATGCCTTATAGTATGACAAATACTTCTCTTTTAAATGGTCATTTTCCAAATTTCTGTATAATAAATATCTGAAATAAATAAATTAAAAAGACAAAACTTGAAATGTTACTAATTTTAATTCAAGATGTATTATAAACTACTAATATATAACTACGTATTTTATGTGGTGTAGTTTTTAATTATTGATGATAACCTTCTTATTAAGCAGCAAGTGCATTCAACTAATTCTTTTTTCACTTACCCCTATTTTCAAAATTGTTAATATCATGTTAAGTGTTTGAAGATTCTATCTGTATTTAAAATATCATTACATTTATTCTATGGAAATAGTTCATGAAATGGTTTTGTGAAGCTTAGCAATTCAATAAACATTTTATAACTATTTTAATAAAAGCTATCTTACACATATTAAGCACCAAACTTAGAAAATTATTTTTAATTACTTTCAATTACAAATTTATAATTAAATTTATTTAAATGGTTAACATTCCTTATTTTATATAAATGCTGCAATACTTTTCAAACTTAATTCATTTGAAGGTCCTTACAGATTACTGTAGAATTTAAAATTTATTATTTTAAGTACTGTACCTGAAACGTTGAGCTATATATTTGTTATGGTGAAACACCGAAATCTGGAGAATGCCGACTTTCACTGGTGAATGTCAACATTCACATAGTCGCTTGGTGTATGTCCAAAATATTTTCCAAATAATCTTATTTCTGACTTACACCGGTGAATGTCGACATTCACCATGTACTAATGGTGAATGTTGAACATATAAGAATATTGTATTTCCTTCTCCGTAATTCATTCGCGAAAAAACGCACTTAAGGCTCAGAATAAGAACATAAGAACACACAGTACATACAAAATGAGAAAGGAAAATAATAGAAGTTATAAACTTACCAAATTATGTGATTTAAATCTTATTTATTGCAACAACTTAAACTATTATGACACTTTGAATTGCACAAGAGGCCCTTGCTTTTACAACTGCATTTATTTGTGGAACACTTCCTTTTGGAATGGCAGCATGTACATATACTCCTCTCTTTTCGACCTACACCAAAGCATATCTGTGATCGTTGACATACACCGGTGAGGGTCCGAATGTACAAGAATGTAAAGAAATATTTTATCTTTCACCGACGTATTTGGTGAATGTTGACTTTCTCCGGTGAAAGTCGACATTCTCCAATTTCGGTCTTTCACGGTAACATATGTATTAAAATATATTTAAGTGAAACTTTTTAAGACGATATACAGTATATAAAAATTTCCTAATTATGCAGGAATGATTTTAGATAGCTTTCATCAATTTAATACTTTGATTATTTAACTATACCACTGCTTGTTTCATTAAAATTATTTTATAATTTAAAAACATACAACAAAAATGGGTTTATTAAATGTTATTAACAATAGATTTAATTAAAGTAAATTTCTAAAATCATCTTTGTTAGGTGTCTTACACAGTATTTGTTAGTGTACTAAAAAGATATAAAACATTTACTAATAAAAATTTATTTAAAAAATACATAAATTGGAATAAAATAATTTAAATATTAGTACATGCTTTTCATATCAACTAAAAAGGAATACAAATTATGAAATTTAAGTTCCTCAGAAAATAATTTACATATAAAAGGAAAAAACAAAAAGTATTTTTTTTTTAATGTTAGGCTAATTAAAATGCAAAGCACACAAGAGCTACCTTTAAACAGATTATTTGGCTCATAATGATAAATTGTATTGTAAGCGTTAAATATTTCTTTAACATGTATCTTTCCCCCCCCAACTTAATTAAGACTTCGAAGATGAGTGTCACACTGAAAAACACACATTAAAATGTTAGCTGTTTGTAAATACAGTACAAGTAAAAATGTTTTTCTTATATCAAAATTGTACCAGATGTTAATATTATTAAAAAGTATTAATGGTTTTACAGATATGATAAAAATTTTACTAAAAAAATGTTCAATATTTCTTTAAATTTATAGACTTTTTGTGGTATCAGTGGCCAGCTGCTCCTAGTTTAATCGTATTGAAAATTTACAACCCTTAATTTCAACTAATGTCTAAAATCTGCCGTGTGGTTCCCTCCCCAATTATGTCACTAATATTAACATATTATGAAAAGTTATATGCTATAATCTCTTACTTTGAAGCTGTTGGCAGGACCCTACCCCCCAATCTGTGATCATAACTTGCGTCATCTTCACCATACAGCATTAATATTCTTCATATCATCTGAAGCTGCAGTTCAAGTCAAATTTCATGAAGCTGAACAGAAATGAAGTAAGGGGAGGGAAAAGGGCCTTGAAATTCCCATTTTAAAGTAACAGACTATAATTTTGGGAATTCTGTCAGCCAAAGAATTAGTTTCATCTAATATTAGTTAAGTTTGCAGTTATCTTTAATAACCATAAAATTGAGATGGATTTCATTTTAACATGCCTTATCAAATGGAAAGTCAGCATAAAGCCTACAATTATATTATGTGTAGATTTTTTTTTAATAATTACACAAGCTTTATGTGTGCGTGCATTCAAAATTAGCATTTTGTTCAATGAAATAAATGTAACTTTAAATTTTATGTAGGTAAATGAAGTATTTTTTTTTTTTTTTTTTTTTTTTTTTTTTTTTAATAACATCAAATTGGGGCTTGTCAAAATTATATTAAAAAATTATATATCAAGGTAACTGCAAATGAAATCCAGATGATGTACCATAGCATTTTGGAAAAAATACTGTATTATTTGTATGCAAAATATAAATTAAATTTTGAGAGATTATTTATAATAGCTGGAATAAATTTGGATGCAAAAATATAAGTAATAAATTATACAAAAAAAAAGCATTTTTAGTTGCTGAATTTAATTTTCATTGTTTGAAATTATAGAAATTTGGCACTTAATATCATTAATAATATAGTTCCATAAAAATATAAATATATTAAATCTATTAAATTATATAATGAACAGATAAGTAGTTACAATATTAAAAATGGTTATATGTACAAAAAAAACTTTAACAAATTTTTTGTAAACTCAATATCCAAACAGTGTTTTAACACTTAAAATACTTCATTCTATGTATTCATATATACATACATATATTGAATTTTGCTACTAGTTTTTTATCAGGCAATAAGAATTTGATATATTACACACTTTTATAACAAGATTATAGAAATGATGAATTTTATACAAAAGATTCTCAACAGGTGAAGAACATACAATACGTGAAAAATTTGCCTTCTTCACTTCACACACATAACAGTTTCACATATATAAATTTAATGTCTGAATTAATTATACTTTGTAGATCACAGAAAAAAAATCCCCCATACAAAATGCAATTTTTATAAAATTGCTGATGGAATTTATTAAAATATGAATTATTCAGACATTCATAATAGATAATTTTATTGCATAACAAAGTTCGCTCAAAATTTTTAACTCCTCAATATACTTATATAATAAAAATATATCATTTTCTAGTTATATAAAGCCAAAAATATTTTTACCACTATAACAGATTATTTTTACATACTACTATTACTACTTAACTATAACTACCGCATTTTTATACACTAGAAAGACTTCAGTACATACAAGTAATTGTTTAAATTTTTAGCAACATTCTAACTGATGTTGAGTTTGTAAATCTGAATAATAAACTAGCAATTTAGTTCAAAGTGATAAACTTATTACGTTGCTCTCAACTCCATAAATAGTGAAATTAAATGTTAAAAAAATTATTGTTGATCGTTATGGTAATCAACTTGTACGGCAATAAATTCCTATTTTATTTTTAATACACTGAATGAAATTCAGGATAATATCATTCTTTATATTTTTTGTATTAATTTTAAGTTCTATTTGGCTTCTTGAGTCAATGAAATTCATATATGCAATTTCTACTTATTCTTTATGAATTTTTCCCCCTCAAAAAAAATTGCAGATATTAAAAAGGGAAAAATTGTTGCAATTTATATACTACAATATAAATTTATTATTCCATCACAATGCTGTTTCACAATTAAAGATACATCATTACTGAAAAAGAAAAGTTTTCTAGTAATCGTTCTGCAAAAAAATATTTTCCCTTGAAGCAATTATTAATTTTACATTTAATGTATTATATACTATTCTCCATTTTTAACATGAGTAAAGACATATTTTTTGTCATTGTATTGCATGATTACATTAAATAAATATAAATTAATCAGTAAAACTGCATTATCTCATAACATGAAAATTGGTATCCTATTACAAAAGGCACATCCAACAGATTAAGTCAACAAGTCATGTTGTCATGATTTAGTCTCATTTTTTTTTTACCAAAAATTACTCAAAGTAGACTAGGTAGATAAGAGTAGTTTAGCCATATAGGCAGCAAAGTAACAGCCATACAGGCTGCATTCATATCTCACTTATGGCTCAGGTCATTACATTGGAATCTGACTAAAGTAAGAAGTAAAGAAGACTTCTCTACTGTTGTTGAAATCAGGCAGAACATGCCCATCTTGAACAGAAGAGGCTAAAGAATTTTATGCAATGAATTCATATAGTTACAGCACTAGGTTACAAGATCAGGGTCAAATTGTTCCGAGTCTTTTTTTTTTTTTTTTTTAAATTTATTTTTTATTAGAAATTATCTAAATCCAGTTCAATGCGTAAGTAGCCTAACTACATAGAGCATGAATGTCGAGTTCAAGGTCTAAGTAGAATCCAGATTATTAGTTAATTTTCTTGATTAACTCATAGATTAATATGAGTATAGATCTGCTAATGAACCATTGGAACACAATATAAGACTAGATTCAAACTACAGATTATTATTTGTAAATAATTAAATATTACTAGCAGTTTCAAAACATTCTCTGCCGTAATAATCCTCAACATAAGAATGCTTAATGGGCTGCCTATTAAAAATTAGTAATATGCAAACATTTTCCTTTTAAGCAGTATGCTCTTAAAACTTTTTCCTGTATTAGATGAGTATAAATAAAGTAATAGATGATGGGGATTTAAGACTACATAAATTATGGGATCATGAGCTTTTTGTAAATGATTTTTATGAACAATAACCACAACAGTTTTGTTTAAACTTGAAACTGTACAAATTATTTCTAATTTATCAAAAAGTCTAAAATCTTGTACAAGATTTTTCAAAAAGTTAGCGTGACTAAACATATCTTTTATTTGTTCTATTAGATTGTGATTTGTTCCAGTTTGGAAATCAATCAAATAAGTTAGGCCTTCAAACTACATTAATTATTATTATGGTCACGATATGTTTCAATGAAAATACACAAAACAAATTTTTAATATAGATCTCCATAAGTAAAAAAAAAAAGAATTTTCCAGCTGCCAGAGGGATGGCAAAGGGTCATAGAACAAAATGGTGCTTATGTGATTCAATCAATTTTTTCTTACGTTTCTTACGTTTTGTATTTATCATAAAAAAACTACAGAACTGTCTGGATGACCCATACATTTTACATTATAAAGACATTCATTTTGAAGCACTGGATACAAACAAGTATTTGTAAAAAGGCAAATTTTAAACTGGAATTTAGATATTTAAGAATATTCACTTTTTCTACAACCCTAAATCAGTTTCTTGCAGGTTTTTTGAAAAAGTGGTTTAAGTAATGTAATTTTGACACTTGGCTGTATGTCTGATTTCATATATTATAAAGAGATTATTCTAAAAGATATAGTAGGATAAGAAAGAACTTAATTACAAAATTTCTTTACAGCAATCCTATGTAAAAATTTCAATTTTGCATACTTTTTATTAAAAAAAAACTTTTACATCAAAATTCACCTAATTTCATGGCATTCCTTTAATGGCAGTTAATGAACAGGAAGTAGGATTTACAATCAATCATTTAAAAGATACTCTATGATGCAATTTTTTCAAATATCCAGGATAATCATACTGTACAATGTATTAAACATAATTTAATCAAATCCCATTCCTAACTCAGTGATCACATTGCTTATGTGACAAAAATCTGAAATTTTATGAGGAAGAAAGCTGTGATTTTTAGTTGCATTTCAAGGGTTAAGAAAACTTCAATGTGTTGTAAAAAATAAGTTGCTAAAACTTTCATAGTTAAATTGGGTCACTAACATAATTTTTTCAATTAGTTATCATTCTTAATCACTATGCATCTCTCATTAAGAATTAATATACATATAATTTGCAACTTCTTTTCGCTCAGTGCCATACAGACCCCCCCCCTCCATTTCTCAGTTTATATAAAAGATTTAAAAGTGCAATACAATTTTCAATCTGCAAACTGCAATTTTCATATTCTGAAATTTATATTATTTGAATGTCTAATAGATATTATTTTCTCAAGACTAGAGTTAATTTTTCTTATGCTCAAAGCTAATTATAGAAAGGCTTAATGTACTCAAAAAGAAGTAAATATATTTTTCTAAAACATAACTGCATTTTTGTGGAAATAAATTCATTGAAATAAAATGATTCGCATGGATAGAAATTAGTTTAAAATTTTCAATTATTTTAATTTTTAAATCAATATTTGGAAAATAGATCCATTGCTAAACATTAAAATACTACAAAATAAAATTTTCCGAACACTACTACTTCACTGACCAACAGCCATATTACCATTACCAAAAGAATATTAAACAGACAAATGTAAAAGCCACAAGAATACGATTCTATGTTGCACATGAAAATGTTTTTGTTTCAAGAATGTAGTACATTCTGAAACACCATTAACAAATGAATTTACATACTAGTACTTCAGACTGATATTTTTCACAGATGCATTCTACCTAAAAACAAAAAACATAGCACTCATTGATAAAAGTGATATGTGCATTTTAAAATAAAATACAATAATTTCCTGTTAAAACATAATTTCTTACATACAATAATTTCCTGTTAAAATATTTACAATTAACGTTTGCAAACATTGTGGATTTACAATTAACGTTTGCAAACATTGTGGGTGTTTTATAATCAGAATGGATTTTCAGTAAGTCTTTCAAATTCAGATTATTAAGTAGTGTTTAAAAAAATTATAACCCCCCCCCAAGAAAAAAAAAGACTGTTTTAAACACAGACGTCTGATGGATTAATCAATAGTTACCAACTTCTTCAAATATTTACTGTACAATATAATCTTTATAGCTACGAATAGATTTTAGTTGTTTTTTCAAAGCTTTTACCAAGTCCAAAGGTTGGACTAAGATAGAAATGTCGAGGCCAACAGCATTTAATCTGTCTTGCACCTATAATTAAATGAATATAGACTTAAACAAGGTTATACACACACACACAAAATAAGATATATGTATATTAATGATTGAACTTACAGAATTGTTTTAAGTATACCAATATAAAAAAAATAAGTTTAAAATCAATATTAATAAACATTAAAATATTTTTACAGTATAAACAATAGATTACAGTATCTACTTTCAAAATCATACCTAATTCACATGCTACATAAATATTAAATTTAAGTTCAAGCTAAAAAAAAACTTTTTATTATTACTTACATATAAATTTTATTGTTTTATTAAATAAATAAATAATACAGCAAAATGAAATGCTAGTATGATGTAATATGTTATAAATAAACAACACAATTTATTTCAACATAAACTGGTATACAAAAAATGCATTTATATTTTACATGTCTAATATATTTTTTAGAACACTTCTCCCTATTTTTAGTTTTTCCCCATCAGAATCTCTGCTTGAAATTAAAAATATCATAATTAACATCCAGTACTTACTTTTAACAGACTATCGAAATTTTAATGCAATTTCTTGAATATCATATTAATTCAAATAATTTCTATTTCTGCTTTAATTCTGACTTACAAACACTTAATTCATAGATGAATTTTTAATAGTTTAAATTTAAATTAATAGAAATGTACTGAGGCATATATAGAAGGTCCAAAAAGTAATACTTGTTTGGTAATAAAAAATTGATTTTGTTTACTTGAATATCGCAAAGCACTCGAGAGCTATCTGCCTTAGAGAAGAAATGCCTTTGTGAAAGATTTTCTAAGAGAAACTGGCTTGTGTACACATTACATATGTGGAAAACCATGAAAATGCCCATTTGCTGGGACTTGAGCCCTGGACCAAACTACCGGCATTGAGCGACTTTTACCACTTGGCTGCTGGTGGGCAGTAATGGAAACAAAACACTCTTATTAATCATGATATAAAATTGTAGATGAATTTTATAGAAAATACTATTTAATCTCTAGTTTCCACAAATATGAAAGATTATTTTTATTATTTTACAAGTTCTAAATGGAAGTTTATTTTACAGAAACTTTTTTTTTTAATATTTTAAGCTTTGATAACTATGTCAATGAAATTATTCATAGAAAACATTATTTCAAAAATCAATAATCACTCTTATACTTCCAATAAGTCTTATATTAAATAAATGGGATTAAAAAAAAGAACAATTTTCAAAAATTTGCCAAAAAATCAGAAGTTGTTATTTTATATAAACTGTATTTAAAATACTTTCTTTTGGTTCTATCGCATGGTGCAAACGGTAAAATTTTCAGTTTTAATTTGTTCGTAAAATGGAAAAATCGAATTTCAAAGAAGAAATTGCTTTACCTTATTGCCATCTGAAATGAGTATAAGCAAAATCTGAGCTGTATAGCTTACCGGGAAATAGTTTAAAAATCGATGGCAAAAATTTAACTAAGTGACAAACACCACGAGCAAGTTAAAAAAAAAAGTGATAAAAATTGCAGTAGGTTCTAGAAAAATGTTTAATTAATCATTTGAATGATTTCCTTTTGAATCATTTGAATGATTTCTTGTTTTAAAAGAAGATAAAGGGCTTGTTTCATAATATCTTTATAAGAGGTACACTTCTGAATATTAAAATTAATTAGAATTCTTATGTCTCATAAAAGAATGTAATATTATATATTGCAATAAAACGATAAAAATCAACTTTTGAAACAAAATGCTGAGAAAAATATATATAAACTAAAAATAAATAAAAGCAAGACAATAGCAGGTAATTTTAAAAACTCATTCCTTAGATCTTTTTTTTCTAACATTAACAAAACAAAATTAACAGTGAATGCAAAATATCTATAAAAAAACGGGAAAGAAGAAGCTTAAAACTTCTAAGTTTAAGTTCTTTGCAAGTAATTCTTTTTAGCAAAGGAAAGGGAGATTAATAAATATAATCAGTATTAGAAGAAATCTGCACAAAAGCAAGAAAATTAGTGCAATATGATGACATCATAACACTGAAACCATGTTTCCAAGTGATGCCCAAAGAAAAACTGACACTTTCCCTTCTGCTCCATACTGCAGCATACTTTTTACAAAGTTAATAAAATTGGTTAGTTAACATTTTATTCACCATTACTGTTTTAAAAGAGTGAACAGTATTTTTATAAGCTATGAAAATTTCAAAACTTTCTAACTGATACATTTTTAGATGTTGAAATTTTAAAATAAAATAATAGATGCCGAACAGATAGGGGGAAAAATAATGATAGAAAATTTGCCTAAAAAATTTAAGAAACTGCATTAAAAATTTCACAAGATTTTCATTGAAACTATTTTTTCCACTTTATCTAATAGTATAAATAGAAAAATGGCGAGTTTTTAAATTTGTTAAATGAAGCTATGTGTGAAAAAATTACCACAATGTATTATCAAGATCGGTGACAAACTTTTGGTGATATCAAGAAGCCCCATGAGTAAGCTAAATAAAAGCTTAATAAATAGGTAGTTAAACAAAACTCTTTTTATTCTGAAAATACAGGTCTTGAATTATTATTCTACATGGGCACCATATCTTGATTAGATTATTTGAATACGGAAAAGTATGTAAGGAGAGAGAGTCTTTGTGGAAGACTTTCTACAGAAAACCAGCTCCTATCCACATTACACATGGAGAAAACCATGAAATATGCTTATGTAGCCAGCCTGTTCCCTTCAGTTCAAATTCCTAATACAGCAGTGTTAACCACTCGGCCATTGATGGAGCCAGCACCCATCAAGTGCCTTTGAACAAAGTCATTCTATTATTTTTATTTCTTCAACAGAATGATCAAATCCAATTAAATAATAATTAGATTTGCCTTCATGGGACAAAAATCAGACTGATCAGTTAAATCATCCACTATGAAAAAACATCAGACTGCTTAAATGAATTAATTCAGTATTTCATAAAAATCATCATTTTTATGTTTATAAAGAAAACTTTGCACACTAGTACATTTGAAACACAACCACTATCTAGACTACAATTTTTTCACATGAAAAAGCCCAATATTAAGACTTGTGCAAATTCTATTAAATGCTTTCAGTTTGAAAAAGATATGAAGCATTATTTACATATCTATCAATTTAAATTATAAGGGATGGTTATCTTAGAGTACAGTAAAAAAGTTATTTTACAAATAAAGGTATTGAAAAACAGACTTTCATAAAGGGCACTATAAAAGGAGGTAAATAATATTTTAACCTTTAAAAAATGAACTGATGAATTATTTCAAAATCTGCATCTAAGAATCTGATTATTTTCCAGTTTTTAAAATAAAAGAAAACAGTTTAACCTTTGGAAACTACTGTAAAAAATGTTTAAATGTGTTCATAAAAAAATTGTATCTATTTCAAACTTAGTATATTAATCTTGTATATAAGGCACATTTTGTACAGCAAAATAATGCCTGCATCTTTTTAGGTCCCTACTTCTACAAAGCAAAAATCACTATAATGTATATTAATAAAATTATTCCTAAATTATTTTTATCAAATGCAAATGCTTGCAAGTAAAGCAACATCCTTCTTTTATGAAAAACTGCAGAAAATGTAAGTTGCAAAGCTTTCAATATAGTGTTTCAAATTATATACATTTTCTGATTATAGCAGTTTATCAAGTTAATGGGTTTGGCTTTGAGAAGGATATCTTAAAGGAAACAGGTTCTCATGTTAACAAAAGGCAACCAACCCATTCCACCACTGGAATAAGACCTAAGATACCTACATTTTGCATCTTATATAACTTGACCATAAGTAGGGCGAGCGTTTTAAACAGTAAAAAGGGAAGGAAATTCAATTTGTTGGCTTAAAAAGAAATTACAGGAAGTATTTCTGGAAATCAGCGAAAAAGTATTTATATACCGATTTCACAAAATTAAACATCAAGATTCACATTAATGATTCTAATAATGTGTCAGATGCAGAGAGAATAAATATTGATCTCAATAAAGCCTGAAATTAATTAATTGACCAGGAACTTTCAAGATTATTTTCTGAAAAGTAATTTACAATTACTGATCATTAAATATATATCAAAATATATATATCAATATAAAATAGATATATATATATAAAATATATATAAATCAAAATAGAGTTATTATGCAATGTGTATATGTATAGACAGTTTCTGTGAAAATTCAAAAAATATTTAAATTACATCTAATCAATTAGTCTTCATTATATAAGTACCATGCGCACACATAACAGGCATGTTTTTAAAGTAAGTACTGTTTTGAAATTTCAGCATGACAGCACTTTGGTTGGTATTTCATGCATGTGTATTATTTGCCTACATCTGTTGGCAAGCCATAGGCACCATTACAGAAACTTTCAACCATGTTAATGTTTGTTTTTGAGTATTTAAAATGACTCTGTCAATTGAGAATTTTGCTGGCTGTGAAATATGATCAGTGATATGTTTTCTTAGTGTTAAAGTGGCTGAAATTCATCATCAGATTAGTGAAGTGTACAGGCAAAATATTATAAGCAATGTAATGGTATAGAAATGGTTGAAGCTTTTAAAAATGGCCGCATGAATGTTCATGAATGAATGATGGACAAAGTGGGTGATTTTCTGCCATTATTGAAGATTTGGTGCAGAAAGTTGGCGACCGAATGAAACAGTACAAGAATGACCGAATGAACAGTACATGCTTAAATTATCAAAAACTGTGTGCAAGCTAGTTATTGAAAATATTGACAGAGGTACATTAAATTAAGAGTTTAGACAGTACTTTAACTTTTCTTCAACAGTACAGTGAGGAAGGTGGTGATTTTTTTTAAGCATGTGTGGCTTATGAAACCTATGTGGCTTATGCTACACCAGAATTGAAGCAGCAATGTATGGAATGGCGGCATTCAGCATCATTCAAGAAGATGGTGAAGTTCAAGAAAACAGGTTCCAGAAAATCATGTGTAGTGTGTTTGGGGACAGGAAAGGATAATATTGTTTGTGGAT